CACCTCCCACTCAATCTCTACAAAATCAGGGCCCCTGGAGGGTCCCAGCTTGGAAGGGTGGTTGTCTCATTGATCCTTAGGTTTGTGGTCCTCACGTACATGGGTTTCTTTTCTCATGATCTGGCCAAGCCTACGCACATGCTGTCGAACATGGAGTGCCAGCCTCAAAGAGATCCATTTAGTGATTTCAGTTTGGTTTATTTTTTTTGGTTGAAGCAGAAAATGTGGTTGGCGCAGGGGAGTTTAATCTAATGTGTTTCACGACAGGTCAACAAAGCAGCTCAAGAGGAAGTTGACCAAGAAGGACAGAGAGCGAATCAAGGTTCCTTGACTGACGCATACAAGTGGTTGCTTTTGCTTTGTCGTGAGATTTAACAGCAATCAGGTAGAATCTTCTAAAGCTGAATGGTTCCAGGATGTTCTAGCCTAGGCCCGACTGGTGAAGAGAAATTTGAAACGAGTGAACCCACGAGTTTATTACCAAGAGCGCAGGCGTTCCAATGGTGGATGTGGGTGGCAGGGAACAAAAGACCTGCCATTTTCCGCGATGTACACCGCCTCTTTTTGTAAAGCAGTTTTGAAGAGTTGGTTGAAGGCTAAAGGCCAATAAAATTCAGCCAGCGCGCATAATGCAGCCCGGCCAAGCACGGCTACTAACTCGACGCATTTCCCAACCATCTCTACAAAATGGGTTCTAACCCTCTACAAAATTATGGTGGGTGGGTGCACACCCTTGTGTAAACAGAAGGATACTTAACAAACCATCTCTACAAAATGGGTTCTAACCCTCTACAAAATTATGGTGGGTGAGTGCGCATGCTCGAGTCAACGGAAAGATATGTAAGAACATGACGTTTCTATAAAATCAAGCCCCCCAAGTAAATTATGGTTGTGCTAAAAATCTCAAAAACTACCCTGATCACTCTACAGATTTGACCACCCAGGTGGTTCATTTTGTAGAAACCCAATTTTTTCTCTACAAAATGGTCATTTTGAGCACCTGGGTGCCTTGAATCTGTAGAGGAAATTCTGCAGGGGATGCGTTTTCCGTGTATTTTGTTCGAGATTTCCCGGTGGAGAGCTTTGGTCTTTTTTTCGGAGCCAGCCTCAAAAGGATGGGAACGACCTGGAGGTAACTCTGAAGTGTCTCTCCCAAGCGGATGGATCCAGTCTTCGGTTAGCAAAAGCCCCTGACAAAAGCCCTAAGTATCCCTCATATCTCAGATGGTAGTGGTGGTAGTGGTAAGTGGAAGTAGACCGTTGCTCATGTTCATCCCCAACCCAGAACTCATTCATAAAGTATCTTAAATGGATCCATCACAGGAACACCCCAGAATGGATTTTAGGGAAGCAACATGGACAAGGTGACAACACTGTAGAACACTGTGAGCTGGCAGCTCGGCAGGGAAACCTCGATAGAGTGACAGCATCTCCTGAGGGTTTTATGCCGGCCGGTCGGCACAACCGGGATGCTGTCACCGTGTACCGTGCCACGACTAGACTGAAATCTTCCTTTGGTCGGACACAAATGGACCACCTTCGTTCCACAGGGTTGAACGCTCAAAAACGGAACAGAAGAACTTCAATCTGGGAAAAGGACACGTTCAACTGTGGATC